CGTCACGCAAGCAAGCAAGAGAGAGACAGAGACAGAGACAGACAGACAGAGACAGACAGAGGCAGACAGAGGCAGACAGAGAAAGAGAAAGAGACAGAGACAGAGAAAGAGAAAGAGAAAGAGACAGAGACAGAGACACAGACACAGACAAAGGCAGACAGACAGAGACAACACAGACAGCCAGACAGAGACAAACAGACAGACGCACAGACAGACGCACAGACAGATGCGTCGGTTTTCGAGAGGCAGAACATCTACAGACGCACAGCAGAAGTCGGTTCAGAACATCCTGCACAGGAGACGCGGGGCGCTTTGGGGACCCAGGCCGAGCTCCTCGCAAGGATGCAGAGGCTTTACGAGATTTTGGAGGAGCACCGGCCCGGGCCCCCGAGGGCAGCGCGCTTCGCTTCGGAAGCGCGGGGCGGGGCAGCGCGCTTCGCTGTCGGCCGAGGGTCTACTTGAGCACGACTCTGCGGGCCAAAGTGGCTTCCATGCCACGGTCCTTCGCCAACTTCGAGGCCGTCTTCGCGAAGAAGGAGGAGAAGGTGGCAGTTGCGAGAGCTTAAGAAAAATCGCGCGCCCGCGCGCGCCTGCGCGCGCGCACTCCGCTCCGCCCACCGCCCCGCCAACCGCCCTGAGGTGGTGGAGGAGCGGGAAGGCTTCCTGGAGCGCTTCGCTGCGGAGCTCTCGGCCCTCGAGGCCAAGGTCCAAGTCTTCGCCTCCGAGGCCCGGAAGCCCGGAAGCCCGGAAGCCGGGAAGCCGGGAAGCGGCAAGCGGGAGCAGAGAGCGAGAGTCCGTTCTTCTGGCAGTGCTTTCATGTGCTATCCCATGCTTGCAGAGAGGAGCAGGTGCGGCATCCGGAGTTGTTGCAGCTGCCCTCGACGGCGCCCTTCACCGAGATTTCCCTTGTGTCATTTTGAGGAGGCAAGGCAGCACTTGAGTTTTCTCAGGTCCTTGACCGCTCCGGCCTTGGCGGCAGGCTGCGTTCCGGCTGGGGAGCCAAGCGAAAGCGCTTGCGTAAGACGCCCTTGCTGCTTCAGAGCTCCGAGGACTTCGCAGGGGAAGGGCAAGGGGCCAGGAGCGAGAGAGCAGCTATGAGCAGCTATGTCATGTTTGCTATGAGCTGCAGAGCTGCTGTTGGCTGGAGCCCAGGTCCGCGGTGGAGGTCTCCTCGAAGCTGAGAGAGCTGGAAGCCTTGCAAGAGGCACTGCGGAAGCTCCAAGAAGACCAGGAGCTCTACCAGAGCTACCAGGCCCAGGGTCCTGAGAGAGCAGCAGAGGAGGAGAGGAGTCGGATCGTTTTGGCGACTCACAGGATGTGATGAAAGGCGACGGGCTGGTGGTACCAGCCTCTTGCCAGCACCCTCCTCGCCCCTCTTTCTCTAGCCTCCAGCCGAGAGTCCGTTTCCGTTTCACCGAGGATCTGAGGGATGCCTGGCTGCAACTGCAGAGGCGCTTGGATCTTTGGAGGACTTTTGAAGACTGGCAAAGGAAGTGTGCCTTGACAGAGAACAGAATGCAGTTGCGCATCTTTGCACCCTTTTTGCTGCTCTGTGGGACTCTAGGATTTTGTATACTATTGTATACTGCTCTAGAAAAGCTCCACGTTCTTCGTGTGTTTCACGTGGAGTGTCTTTCTCGTCCCAAGTCCAAGTGGTTGCAGGTTAGTTTCGGTGCTCAGTTTCGGGGCAGAGTTTCGGAACATGGTCCGGGACCACTGGGCGCCGAAACTATCCCCCTCTGATCCCGAAACTATGGGCACCCGGATGCGCAACTGCGTTTGGGGAGAGACCGGACAGAGAAGCAGTTGAAGCAGAGAGCGCAGTGTGCCGGCCGTGGCCTCCCCTTGCAAGGCCAGGAGTGGCTGCCTTCGGCGACCTGGCTTCCGAAGAAGTCTGTTCTCCGTTCTGCTCCGCTCTGACTCTGCTCCGCGGCTCAGGATCTGCTTCTGGTGGACCTGATGCTCATGTCCAAGGACGTCTGCTTTCTCAGCTTCGCCTCTGCTTAAAGGCCTCTGCTTCGCCTCTGCCCCGGTTAGGTCACAAGCTTGTGGGTGCAAGCAGATGCAGCCCAGCACGATCTGCCGGAGAATGCTGTTTTCGAGGAGCTGCAGAGCCAGCCGGGAGCCCGGGAGCCCTTCGGAGCCCTTCAGCCGCGGGCCGCGGGCGGTATTTTTTCGAGTCGCGAGTTGGTCAGGTTGAAGTACATGCAGGACTTGATTCCGGTGCTGGAGGCGGCACCTGTGTAGCCTCGTGTACCGGAGTGAACAAGTCGCGGCGTTCCCTCCCTTTTCCTGGCTCAGGTGCTGCAGAACCCGCACTTGAGGGGGAGGCATTGGAAGGAGCTGAGCGCGACCTTGGACGTCACGTTGGACGTCTCCCATGCCGGGCGGCCGCAGCTGGCTTTGGGCCAGGCGGCCAATTGGAACCTCACGAAGGAAATGGCATCCCTCCTCACCATCGCGCGCCGCGCCACCCAGGCATGGGCAGGGAGCAGGGGCGGTTGGGGTTGGGTTAAGGGGACGAGGGGCACTGGCACTGTGGAAACGCTTTGTGTGTCTCAGCTAAGCGGAGACGAAGAGGTGGAGCGAAAAACGCGAAACACACGAGACGCGCGAAAAACACGATCAATGCGAAAACGCGAAACTGACGAAAACTGCGAAGATGCGAAAAGCGCGAAAAATCAGCAGAGTAGTAGAAGTAGCAATAGTAACAGTAGTGATTGTAATCGTCACAAACAGTAATACTAATAGCAATAGTAATAATAATACTAGCAAACAGTACCAATACTAGTAATCGTAAGTAATCGTAACAATAAAAGTAAAAGAAACAGTAATAAGCATAGTAATGGTAATAGTAATAATCAGTTGTCAGGAATAGTATTAATAATAATAGTTGTAAACGCAATATTAGTAGTAATGGTAATCGTCATAGTAGCAGTAGTAGTAGTAGTAGTAGTAGTAGTAGTAGTAGTAGTAGTAGTAGTAGTAGTAGTAGTAGAAATCAATTACAAGTAATGGAAAGAATAATTGGAATCGTAATCGTACTAATAGTTCGTCGTCAGATACGATCGAGATCTTGATCTACCTGAAGCCGTACATCGCAGAAGGGGTTTGAACGACATCTGCGGCGAGGACATATCAGGGGTTGGACTGGCCAATCACGATGCGGTCGTCGATTGCATGAGAAACCACACTTCGTACACAGACGTTGTTATCCCTCAACGTGGAGATCGAAGACTATACCACTTTATTGACGAACGACAGAGAAAATCTCGGATACAACAATGCGGCTTACACCTGCATTTCCGATGGTGTGGGATGTGGTATCGTCCAAAAGATGCCCAAAGGTGGATCTTCATTCTGCCACCCCCATTGCAACATTGTGGACAAGGCTCAACCTGCTGCCTTCCACGACCGCAACCAGAAGTGGTGGGCCCAAGAGGCAGTGTACTTTATCCAGTCGGACCTGAGGCATCACATTGGGCAAACCGAGGGAAGCTACTCCATCGAAAAAAATCACCAATTCCTACTATCCCGTGCGATGAAGCCGGTTGGGTGAGGTCGACACTCTCTTGAACATGGATGTTCTCTGGAGTCACGTACACAGAGGATTAGATAAACCCCTTCATCCGCATGACAGAGAGAAACGTAAAAGACAGCTCAACAGAAGACTACAGATGCCGTTCGACGGGAATCGCCTCCACTACCTCACGTCTGGGAAGACTCGATTGCAATTCCTCGGAATTCGAGTGGCCTATCACTGAGGCGTATTTCCACCATGGGATCAGCGAAACCAAATGACTCGGCGTCGGTCAAGCGTGGAACGACACACCCCTTTGGTCGCGTTCTACGTTCCGATGATCGACATCGTTCGTGAAGGAGGCAAAGTGACAGAAAGCGGAGTCATCATTTGCAGCAAACCAGTCCCCTTTCGGCTCGTAAAAGAAGTCTGGCTTTGTTTGCCAGACCCCGCCCATCGGCGAAATTTCGAGCATGTGGAAAAGATCTTGGACCACGAGTTGGAGGACGAAATTTGTGTGGAACATGTCAAGTCGCCCGTTGCGTCATCCATGAAAGCCTATCGAACACTTGAAAGGTTGATGGGGTTATTGTGCGATATGCCACATGGGCCACGTGACGCTGCTAAGGAGGAATATGTTGCGCGACTTGGAGAATACTGTGATGTCTCATGGAACAACGTTGATTGCGACCGCTACGAAGCGCTCTGCAAGGAAGCCACGGATTTCCTCATCAAGCACACTTTGCCGAGCAGTCATTCAAAGACGAGTCGTGACCATGAACTTCGTTACAGAATTTGTCCCTGGTGCCTTGAAAGCGTTCCTTCATGTCTATCCAGATGTGCACTCTTTTTTTTGTTTTCGCATCATACGGAAGACACCAGAGAGCCAACAATCAAGAGGAGACTCCTTTAGAGATACCTCAAGATGAGATTAATCAAGCAGCCGAAGAGGCGACTGCGGCGGGCGGCGGTCAATGCAAATCCCGCGGATGACAACGACGAGGATGATCGACGAACACTTGCTGAACCGGATGAGGAGCTAGATGCAGACGAAGTCATGATGGAACCCGCGCCGGAAATGGACTTGGACGAGTCAGTCGAAGAAGTGAGCTCTCGACAACCGGTATTGGTCAATGACGGCGAGTTCCAACTGGACCAAGAACTTGTACATGCGAGACTATGCATGCAAGTGCCGATCTACGCGCATATGGAGTCAGCATGCGTCATCGATCCCAAGCTCGACCCTGGCCCGCTACATGGCGTTCATCGTCATCAACTACATGCACAAGAACTGGAAAGGAAACGTGAAGTGGCTAGATCTTCCACTGTCGGCGATGCACGAGATGTTCCGAAACTACAAGAGGTATGACGCTGTCGGAAATTCGGGACCAGATCTTTCTCGCATTGACGAAGAGACTGGCATCTCGCGGGACGTAACGGACGAAGAAGTGCTCGCCCATGCAAGAAGCATTCATGACAGTGATGATCCTGAAGGCATTCACTTGCTCAACAAATTCAGAACACACCAATTGATCTTCAAACTTATGAGAGGAGCCATTCAACTTGGGTACAAAAGCGATCACTTTGATCCAGCATTGCACATGCGTGAGAACCAGACGGAAGATGCACCACAAATGCATTCAAGCTGCTTCGCGATGCTATCAAACTCGTATGCAAGATCGCAGGGTATCGACAATATTGATTGCTGCAGACGAGGGACCACAACGTGCCTCCGAACGTGCTTTGCATTGATCTCTTTGGCCTATGCATGATGATTGGCGTCAGCAATTGCACACAGCAACTCTTGGCCGTGATGGTGGATTTAGACATACCTATGCAGGCAAAGTTTGTTGCCAAACTCACAGCAGGTAGGCGGCATGGTCCTCAGACCACAACAACAACCGTGCCCTACGTCGGATATCTTCCCGAAGGACAACAACGCGTTCTGGATAGACCCGTCACCCGCGCAGAAGCTGAAGAAGCCGACGAAGTTCGTGCAAGGGCTAAAGCCAAAACTCGAGCGAGGCATCCGCCTCAACCCAAGGGACCTCCACAACGTGATCGATGGCAGCGCCAAGGTCACTCATGGGGGTTGCGAGGAGACCTCGAAGCCTAGCACAGTTTTGGGCATCGCATCATGAGCTATGTTGTACTATACAAGTCTGACACACTTGGGCAGCCTTCGCTACCAAGCTCAGACCAAACTGACAAACCGGCATTCTGGCTCAAGGCTCCTGAATTCGGCTCCACTTTAGGGTAATTGAGTCTTAGATCCTTCAAGCCATACAAACTCAGCGCTTGAAAGCGAGAAAAGGTTGCCGAGTTTGCCTGCAAGGGAGACGAGTGTCAATACCATAAGTGGGTACAGCTCGGTGAGGCGATACTATCGTATACCAAACCCTCACGCAGCAGTAGTAGTAGTAGTAGTAGTAGTAGTAGTAGCAGTAGCAGTAGCAGTAGTAGTAGTAGCAGTAGCAGTAGCAGTAGCAGCAGTAGTAGTAGTAGTAGTAGTAGTAGGCTGTGGGCGGATCGTTTGCCCACCTTTGTTTGTGAGCTAGGTTGATTCTACTCGTTATTTGCGAGTGATTGGGACTTTCAGACAAGTTCCAGAAATTACACCACGGAACTGCACAGTTGCGATTAGGCTTAATGTGGTGCGCATGAGTCTAGGTTCACGGCAGGGTGGAGAGTCGTGACACAAACACGTCGGCCAGGGCAGTGTTTTCTGCTGGCGGTGCCCTGCCGCAGTCGTTCAAGAAGCGCCTGGCAATGGCTTCCAGCTTCGTTGTCGAGTTTGGGAGACTGGTTCGCTTCCATTGCGGTACGGATGGGGTATGGGTGGACGTTATCATGGTTGGGACATGGATGCTAAGCAGAACGGATGGAGTTTGTGGGAACGTTATCATGGTTGGGACATGGATGCTCTGTGGGACCGGATGGAGTTTGTGGGAAGGCTATCATGGTTGGGATATGGATGCTTTGTGGGACCGGATGGAGTTTGTGGGGACGTTATCATGGTTGTGGCATGGATGTTGTGTGGGGCCGGATGGAGTTTGTGGGAATGTTATCATGGTTGGGATATGGATGCTTTGTGGGACCGGATGGAGTTTGTGGGAACCATATTATGGTTGGGACACGGATGCTCTGTGGGACCGGACGGAGTTTGTGGGAACATTATCATGGTTGGGATATGGATGCTTTGCGGGACCGGATGGAGTTTGTAGGATTGTTATCATGGTTGGGGCATGGATGCTCTGGCAGAACGGATGGGGTCTGGGTGAGTGGACTTTATCAACATGGATGCTTTGTGGCAATATGTTAATCTGTGCTTACAAACATACAGACATACGTACATACATACACTGAACCCAAAGCTGCGAGGAAGTCGGACCTGGGCGAGCGGACGGGCAAAGGAGGAAGTAAACAAGGGGTGGGCAAAAGACCATGTCGGAGCCTAGTAATAGAAGTAAAAGTAGAAGTAGAAGTAGTAGTAGTAGTAGTAGTAGTAGTAGTAGTAGTAGTAGTAGGAGTAGTAGTAGAAAGTAGTAGAAAATAGTAGTCGTCGTAATCCTCATAATAATTGTAATAGCAAAACAACAAGAAAAAGTAATGGTAAAGTAATAGTAATAACAATTGCAAAAGTACTAGTAATAGCAATAATAGTAATTGTACTTGTGATAGTAATAGCAATAAGTGCGAACAGACTTCGATGCCTCTCACAATCCTGAGGTATCGTTACGTGAGCTTTGAGACATGTATTATAATCAGGACGGAACAGTGCTGTTTTGCAGACTGTATCCAACACTCTCCTCCTTA